TTCAATACCAGATTCTTTAGATTCATTCGTGAGTATAGATGAGTAAATTCCTGATTTTTCGCTCCGAATCCTATTAATTCTTCGATTTTTCATCACATAGAGGCCTGATGTGTCATAAAACAATCAACATTTTTTGTGAGTCAAAAGCTTTTGCAACCTTCACAGCTACGATTTTCAACAAGCTCACTAAGTTATTTTTCAAGAACATATAATAAAAAAATGGATATTCTAAAGCTAAAAATTCACTTTTTCGTTAAAAATGACCATTTTCACACAACTAAGAGTTCTAAAACTCTTCCCAGTTCCTTATTCGTATACTAAGTACGTAGTTACAAATCTACACATTACTCATAATAGCAATTCTTTCTGCCATCGTTCCAAAGACAAAATCCATCAAAGAGAAATTTGAATTATTTTATTCATTTTATTTTTTAGAATAGTTCATTTTCGGTAAAAGAAAATTAGTTTTGTTCATTTTGAAGATGACAGTGTCAATAATCTACAAACAACAGTGTAAAGAAGTGATTGCGGTTTCCAAATGGATTTGATTCAGTAAATTCTTTGAATAATGATGAATGTTGAATACACTTTCAAAAACTTGCTTATACGTTTAATATTGAGCATAATAGTCCATAAACAATATTATTAGAATATCCAAACGCAAAATTACGCCAATTATCGATTGATAACAATGACGATGAAGATCTTGTTGTTGCTATGTTAAATACAGATAGTTATTTTTTATACAAACTTCACAAAAAATATGAATTATATACTGGAAAACGTGTACCTCTGAAACCAATATTAGACGAAGAAAAATGTCATTTTTCTGAGATAGATATTGAAATGGCAGCTATATTATCAGATGCTGTTTATTATGCAGATCCAATTTTGCATATTAATAAAAACTATTCATCTTATAATTGTATTTCAACATTAACTGTTCCTGAATGTGGATTATAATTTGCACCTAACGTATCTTCACCATATCTGTTAGCAATATCCAAAGGTAACACTTTTGAAGAAACCTTGTCGGTTGTGCTTCGTGGTACGACAAATTTCAATGATGTCTTAACCGATTTAACTATATATCCAACGTTAACATCATCAGGCATGGTTCATACAGATTTTTGAAAACGTGTCTCTGAATTACCATATGATACATTAATGAATGAATTCAATTCTACATTTGACAATCGCAAACATTTAATACTTACTGGTCATTCATTAGGTGGTGGTGTTGCACATGTATGTGCCATATTTAGTTTAGCTAATAGGAGTTTTAAAGAAAATCCGCCAATATATAGTATAGCATTTGGTGCACCATTTATTGGTAATAGTATTGTTGCTAAAGATTTAATTAAAAACAATTTTAATAAGCATTTTTTAACAATAATACATCAAAATGATATTGTACCAAATTTATTAAATCTTGTTGAAACTGGTACACGCATTCAATCAACAATAGCATCCATAATTGAACCACATTCAGAAATTACTAAAACGCTTCTCTCACTTATTACTTTAGCAACTGGTGTACCACCAAACGTGTTCAGCCCGTCGATTGAGACTTTAAATCGTTAGATGCCAAAATTGGAAAACCTTTTAAAGAAGAAAATCACGGAATACAAACCAATAGGACAGTATGGGTTTATAAGTTCATCATTATCATTAAATAATTCGAATAATCAAGAAGATTTTAAATGGATTATTACTTACCAAAGCAATACAATGAAAATCGATCATGAAAATAAAGACACATTTATTGATATCATATTAAAGAGATTAATCGAATCATGTGGTTCATTAACAGAAACAATTACCGACATAAATATTATTAATCGTCGTATGGAGAAATATATTTCATCATTAAAATCATGTGAAATTATTCATTGTCAATCTTCAACATATATGAGAAAAGCTCAACAAGATATAACTGAATTCAAACGTTTTAATCCATTTATAAGAAAAGCAACAGCTATTTATTCTGATAGAAATATTAAAATAATAATCACAGGTGATCATTTAGATTTTTTATCATCACATAAAAAAATGTGTACAATCACATCTTTCAACCGAATTCTATTATAACAACATCGGAGATTTCTCGGAATAAACTTGTTTTAATGAACAATAGTTTAGTACCATTTGAAGAACGCGTTACAATTGGTCCACGAAAATTTAAATTAGATTCACATTTTGGTGAAATTGATCTAATGTTAGAACTTTATGATGATGATAAGAATAATCAACAAAAACTGGTACTAACATTTCAAAAAATTTGATATAGACTTTTTAATGGCTACATTTCTACGATCATTTTTTGAATATCTGCATTCGAATAATGATTTAGTTTTAACAAATACAAAGAGTAGTTTACGTCATTTTGACAAATTGTTTAAAAATAAACTACCAGCTCACTTTCAACAATTTCAATTGTTACTTGAAAAACATTATAAGATTTATCAACAAATGATACAAATAAATAAACCAATGTCGATCGATGAAAAGTTATATAATGACATGTGTGAATTAGTTAATGATTTATATAAAGCCTTGACCCAGGTATTGAACCATTATGATGATAAACAGTTTTTGCAAAGAATGAAAGATAACCCAGGTGAATATCTGTTATTTGGAACTATTGCATTACTCGGCACATCTTTTTTATTTCATTTTGGACTATTTCGTTTATTTGGAGTTCATTGTTTTGCTCATAGGTTAGTAAACAGTTTCGTAACACAACCTGATATTACTAAACTATGTTGTACTGCCGTTACAACAGCCGCTTCCTATGGCTATTTAGCCAATATTGACCGTAAATCATTGACTTGTTTATCATGAAAATTTAGCGCTTTTATTGAATAGTATAGGCGGTAACTCAGATATGTGTGCTAACGAAAAAATGTGAGAAATACAATTGTGCGATATATTGGAAAAGAAATCGATTGACTTTGATGCTATTAATATGACAGATCGTAAAACAGTAGAAAAAATAATTAAAGACAAACATTTATTCGACCTGAATGAAATAATACAATCGGAACTGCTAACGTTGTGTGGCACAACAATAGATGCACAAATAAAAGCATTTGAATTTTTACATGATATTTATTACATTTGCAAATTACGACGATCGAGCAGCGCACAATATATATCTTTTATTGGTGCACATCGTACTGGTAAGTCAAGTTTATTGAAATCATTATGGAATATACCAACGCCATGCGGTAATTGCCTCGATAATCGTACACAACAAATGCAAAGTTATACATTATATGACGATACTACGTAGTAGTAATAAAATTCATTTAATTGATTATCCTGGTGTGACAGACCTTGTAGCAACCATAGCACATTTGAACCGAAATTATTCTGTATTTAGTACATTTTATGTTATTGCCGTAAGTAAGAGCTGGAACCGATTATAACTCGGCTGCAGAATTAATTAAGGAATTACAAACGTCACCAACAACCACATCGTGCTCAAAGACAGAATGCCAAGTATCAAATACAACTACAACTGCACTCATGGATGAACTCGTGTCAATAGACCAATAAAGTATGTTTAATAAAACTTTGCCATAAGAGTTATATCATTAAGAAATAACGACATAGAGAAAAAGTATTGATTAGAGTCAATCGAAGATTTTGAGCACGAAAACAGTGAGAAAACAAAATATTTAGATTACAGACAAATCCGCTTTTACGACAGTCAAGTTTTAGTACTCGAATCGTATTTGGAAATTTTCGAGTGAAAAAATTCGTTCGATAAAGACATTTTTCATTGAGTCAAATTCAGATCAACTACAATCAGAACATCTCAATGTAGTTTTTCTCACGATATTAAAAGCAAAATGTTTTACTTTATTTTCAACAGAGAACAACAGCAATATGGTTTGAATAAATCAGCGAAGTTTGTTGTTATTATAACTGGTATTGATACGATATCCGATTCATAAATTGAAAATGAATTAAATGAAGCTGCCAGTAAACGATTAAATATCAATAAAGAAGCTGTGGATGATGAGAATTATTTGCGCTTACATGAATCAAGAAGTCTACCTGGAATATCCAACGTACGAACATTTTGAAATAAACACTTCAATCAAATGCTGGATAAACATTCTGATTTTAATAATTACAAATATCGAGAACAATAACAATATCTCATAGGGGTAACTGTTTTACTATATTCTCTGTTCTGTAATGCTTATTTGTGATTAAATAACGAAATAATCTTGATATCAAAGTTGATCGAGTTTTGATGTACTAACACAGCATAATCACATAAAATGAATACAAGTTACGGTGATCTCTGTTGATCAGCTATTCATCAATAAGTGAGTGCTTCGGAATGATACAGAAAGATTTCTATATCTTGTTTTTATACTTGAAAATACCATCAGAAAAGATAAGAAAGGTTGCATGATGATTTATCCGTAAATAGGTCGTATTTGAAATTGATTTTGATACGGAATTTTTTCACAAAATTCCTGCTCTTCTCATCAGCAATATACTAATTCGAACTCAGAGGACCGCTTCAATAGGCCCTAAATTGGGTAATTCATCAGTCTTCTCTCAGGAGATTTCTTCTGAAAATAGTATCATGCGCTCCCTATGAACATGAGTTCACGTTAGTACGAAAGAGATATTTTTCAGAATGTTCACTCAAAACTATACACTATGAAAATCGAATTCTTATGACAACTCTAATACGGCGATCTCTATTTTCCTTCATTTTTTGTGGATGTCAATACAATAATCCAACGCAGTCAAGACTCATGAGAACAATTGAACATCAACAAACACGAAAGATAGTTTCATTCCTCAATTAATTTTTTTTGTCTATCAAGATGAATATACATCTGCCATTGTATCTTATTATACTGATGATCAAGAGAATTTATCAATGAATGCACAGAATATTGGCATATCCGGTCAATGTTCATTCAATACGAATTCCAATGTCAAACTACTTGTCAAATAATGGAACAAAATCTCAGTCATAAATGCAATGGTTTAATGAAATAGCCATCGCCAAAGAATAGTCAACCGCATAATTGACGATGGATTGAAAGACAATAATTGCAAAAGCTTTAAATACGATACTTTCAATGCATAGGAATCCTCATATCAAATAAAGAACAATCGTGTTTATTGAACTCATATTAATCAACATGTTTGCTTAAAAAACTCGAGGAAAAAATTGAAAGATGCTGAGTCGAATAAAAAAAAGTAACGATTCAATTGTTTTACATTGTTCCAATAAGTCAAATGCAGGTATGTTGCTATCTTGTCTTCAGTTGTCATTTGTTTTGCAAAAATCTTTCACTCTGGGTAATGATATTACCATTCGAGTAACTTCCGACTATTACTATTATGAATAAGCATAATCCTGCGCAAAAATCATGTTCTTGCTCGAAGACGTCTGTTCATCACAGTTAGCCACTATTCAACAACATTGATGGAAGGAAAAGACTTTTGTTTACTCGACATGATGGGAAGTTTGTTCAAGAACTGCCCATGATGTGACCACAAAACAATGACGTGTGAAAAATTGTCAATCAGAAGAAAATAATGAGTCACCAATGCTACTGCTGATTTCAGTTGACAAATCAATGAATTTTGAATCATTAGCCAACGAACTCATATTCGATTTATTTGAATATTTTCCCATCAATCAACTTGTTTGAGCATTTTATAGTCGGAACTGACGTTTTAATTTTCTACTCGTAAATCATTTTCAAACTTATGGTATCGCTTTTTAATCAATATCTAAAGATGATTTCGATATGACATGGCAGACAATTAAATAAACTCACTTCATATCTCTAATGATACACTGATATACTTGAACAAATTGATCGATTTTATTTTAATCATGGTTTTCTATTGTGTCAATCTTCTCAATTGAGAAGTTTATCATTATATTATCTTCATTCAGAAATAATTATGCATAATTTCATATCAGATTTATCTTATCTAATTGAACTAAAACATTGAAAACTGCTACATTCCATATGATAATACCAGTGCTCTTATAACTATTAATCAGATTTGGATGCTTCGACATTTATCTATAGATATCAATTATGATTATTGAATAATCGATATGATGTCAATTAATTTCTCAGTAATTACTTTCGAAATATCATATATTTGTAAAGAACAAAATAATTCGGCAAAAAATATTTACAAATGATACCCAATATATGTAGATTACAAGTGAATACGGCAATTTTCTTAGATGAAAATAAATGGGAACAAATAAATTATTATTATTTACCTAATCTCAAAATCTTACAGTTTAAAATGGAACATTATTTGAATCCCTTCTATGATACTAATAGAGAGGTCAGTCAAATATTGAAACTATCTCGAAATGAATTCTGGATCGATAAACATCATTGGTTTGTTCAATGTGATTGGATTTCATTAAAAGCAATTATGTATATTTATACTTTACTAGTATGATTACCGCGTTCTATTAAAGTCAACTCCTCCCGAATATTATGATCAAATAAAATCATCCAATAATACATGTCGTCTTACTTACATCTCGATTTTTCTAACAAATCCTGTATGTACTCATATTGAATTGTCTAAAATTGAATATTTAAATACAAAGCTCTCCATGATTAATCACTTTTGGACAATCGTTCCAGGATTTGATCGATTAATTTTGCTAGTTGTTTCATCGAATAGTCACTATGATAAGTGTTTTTTTCAATTGCAAACATTAGTAGATAAATCACCTCGTCTATCAATTTTATGTTTATATCGATGACCGCAATGAGCTTTGAAAATGTTACAATTCGATATGGGAAATGAGTCGATATTTCGTCGTCATTTAATATGCGATTGTCAATGGTACAATAATAAACAATGTTCTGACTTGATAAAATCATCATTTCAAATAAGATATCAAATCATTCGTACTAATGTTGAAAATCGTTCATGTATACCTGATTTGATAGATATAATGATGAATCTTCAATAATTAAATATTCATTGTACAGATCATAAAATTTGCCATCATACAAAGATAAATTCTTCTAATGGTTGCAACATAATTTGCTATAATCATGTAGTTTTGCAAATGTTCATTGTGATATGATCATGCCACTGTAGATTGATTCAAACAAGCTTTCCACATAATTTCTATCGGACCAGATTTGGATCCGGACGGGTCAATTTTTAAAATTTTTTTAACATATTGAAGCTAGTTTAACTTGTTCATTTCTATCGATTTTAGTGTTACAGAAATATTAGCGTGAAAATTTCCAATATGATAAATTTCTAGGTATCACTTAAATATACTAGTTAACAAAACATAATTATTTAGACTGAAGAGATAACATGATTTTGGGCTGTAAAAGGAACCGAAAACCGGAATTCATTGGAGAAAAAAAAATGACAACAAGATTCGATAGCTTTGTTCGTGAATCAAGTACTTTAGAAAGTTTCTTATATATGATTTTAATATTGATTTCTTCTTTGTCAAAGAAATGAAAAATCGTTGAAAGAATTTTTTTCTTTTCTTCACATTGAAAGATAAATTCAGTCGTTGTTTCATTGTAAAGCGAGGCAAAACATGCATTTGAAAACGTCTTTTGCTCATTCATTATACATGAATAGTGAATTGAGAGGGTTAGTCGACTTATTTCGATGTGAGCTTTGGCACGAGTGCGGCTCTTCTCTTTCTCCGCATCCTCAGCGACACATGCATACTAACACTCACACCAAAAATTATGCTTAGTATTCTGTTGCAATAAAGACGATGAGCCGACAAGAGGTAACGGCTTCTTTCTTTTGAGAAATAGTTGCACTTTGATGCAGTG